TGTGTGTGTGTGTGTGTGTGTGTGTGTGTGTGATCCCCTTACATCTCCCAAACGGAGGCAAGTCCCCAGGCTGTGAATGACGTCCTCTGCCAGGTCAGAGTGGTCTGAATCCCACACCAACCCGATGGACACAATCTCTGGTGAGTTCATCAGCACCCGACGGATACGCAGTACCTCCCCACAGTTACTCTGAGATGGAGGGAGGGAGAGCGAGAGGAGCTTTAGTATAAAAGGAGAGCATGTGATCAAACAGGTTTATTCATCCTGTTTTAGGGAGCTCAGAGTGTGACAGTGGCACAAACCATCCCTTTATTTGGCAGGAAGACACACATGCATGAAGATACGCACACGGATGAGAGAACAGTGGGACAATGAGGGGCATAGATAAAACGCAGGAGAAAAGAGACTAGGGAGCGTAAGAGAGAGCGACAGAGGAAGAAGCACTGTGCTGAGTCGTATTTGTCCCTTGGGCCTTCTGCTGAGTTCAGAACCGTGTGTTCCGAATCCTTCCTTTGAGTCATGACCCACCGCAGAGTTGGTGCACACACACACACTAAAGTCAACACACATGCACACACACGAGCATGTACGCAGTGCTGGCGAAGCGGGCTCGGAAACAGCCTGAGAACACCCTGGCAACCAGACACTTTGCCAAACACAACACAACCACACACACATATGCACAGACACATACACAGAACTGACACTTTGTGGGCGGTGGGCTGTCTTGCGCTGGCACCAGACGTGGCAGGAAGGTATTTTGCCAGGGTCTGCTTCTTAGATCTCAGAAAGGGACGAGAACACGAGCCAGTGAGCGGCAGCCAAACGCACCGAGACACAGGCTGTATCTGTTCGCTCAGGACGCACTGATGGGACACGTTGTCTCACTGTGCCGTCTCACTGCTGAGAACAGCCGCTGACAACATCATTCAGTTGATGAGTGTACAAACAGATTCACTCTGCTTCATAATACAACATCGATCGGTGCGGTATAATCTCTGGGTTTTAAATGCAAAGATTTCTTTTTTTTCCCCCATTTTTTCTGCTGTGGTGCTGCAGACCTTTCCAAGAGAGCGCGAGTTACATAACAGTGCTGCTGGTCAAAGCAAACTGTAGGTTTGCAGAATGCTGATAGTGGCATTCTTCTCAGCAAAATGAAACAACTTTGGAAAATATGTTTGCACTTATGCGTCTCCACGACTCATGCAGAAGCGAAATAAAGAGACAATCTCATGGTGTAAAGACAGCTGAGGAGGCAGAGTGATCATGCAGGACTGATGAACTATAAAACCAGTAATGATTCCAATTGATTCAAATGCCATCTCGTGACAACAAAGTCAGATTGGGCAAAAAACACAAGAAAAAGGTTGTAAACACACAAGCATTCAAACCACACATCTTTTTTTTGGTGGTTAAATAAAAGAAGTGAAGCCAAAGTTGATGCAGTTTTATTGATTGTTTTATCAATCTCCATTATTTCTTGAACCCTTTGATCTCTTGCATGTTCAAGTCTGGCAACTGTGTGTAAATTAGCTGAAGGGCATTTCTTCTCACAGTTTTCAAGACTCCGATTTAGTGAACAGGCCCAAGGTTATGAAATAAATCAAACACATTTTCAAGTGCAAATCTGAGTTACTTGTACAGAGCAGTGAATAAATCACCAGGCTCAATACTGGTAAATGACTTTCACATGAATGTAGCATCATTTGTTTGTGACCATCACCACAACATCATTGATCACCACATAATGATCAAACGTTCCCTAAAGTGATCGTGCCGACACAGATGCACACATTTTAATGACAGGTATGAAACACACACTGTCCACATATGATCGGATAAAAAAAACCCCACATGTCAATACCAGGTGTGTACAGGGCCCAAGTGACAACTGGTCAAAACCCCTTGAAGGCAGACTTGAGATACAGAATCATGTTCTAGATACCACAGACATGTTTTGTGAAGCCAGTGTGACATTTGACCACCAAAATCTAAGCAGTTCATTCTTGAGTCCAAGTGAACGTTTGTACCAAATTTGAAGGAAGTCCCTCAAGGTGGTCTTGAGATATCTTGTTAAATCACAATGGGACAGATGGAAGGAAAACCAGTTAACAATATGCCTCCACCCACTGGGTGTGGCCAGCGCTGAAAACGAGCCAATTTTGGCAGAAAACCTTCTCGTATCGTGGATCCTATCACTTAATGCAAGATGCTGCCTGGAAAAATAAATATTTAGATTGGATATACCTGTACATTTTGCTATTGCTTCTTTTAAAGTATTACAAGATGAGAATCTCCATCCACTACAGCATTATGTAATATATCCAACTTATTAAATTCATTTCAGCTTTTACCCGAGCATATTTCAAATACCCAAACATCCATAACTTCACAGTTTCCTCTCTGTTTCTCTCTCCTATCTCGAATCTGGCACCTCCAGTATCTTCCAGCTGCTTCAGTCTCGTCCAAATACCATCACTTTGTCTGAGCAAAGCTCAAGGCGGTAATAACTAAAGATCAGCGCTGCGAGTGATGGAAGATAAACAGAGGCAGGTTATGTGACTCCCGCAGGACTGCGCACACAATGTCAGCGTTTGGACCGTGAATAAGCTAACGGTGTTCATTAGTGTGTTTGCTGTGGTGCTGCTGCTGTGTGGAGAGAGGGGCAGCTGCTTCTCTATTCCCACAGAGGAGGGTCTTTGTGCGGACACTTTGGCAGAGAATGCCGGGGGAGAGGGATCTATTCAGCGGCAGCACTTTCCCATGTGGCACCAACACAAACCTCCTGAACAAAGGAGTCACACACGGTCCTCTATCCACCACCTAAACCCCCCTCTGTCTCTTTCTCCATCACTTCTATCTGCCTTTCTCTGACCGTGAACTTTACTCATTTTGAGTATTTTAGTTTGGAAGAAATTGTCCTCAACACCTTTGCACTTTGTTTTTCTGCTGCAAGAGGACAACGATCAGCATGCTTTACCACACAGGAGGTCAATGAGGACGACTCTGAATTTTTTTTCTGGCAACAGAAAGTGAAAAAAGGAAAAATAGAAAGAAAATGCAAATAAGCTGATGATTATGTAACAGGAAAAAAACAAACAGGACATGATGAAACTACCAAACTGGTTATGCTGCAAATTATATTTTTAAAATCAGATTTTCAGCATTATTTGTGCATCTTTGACATTTTGCACATTTGTCATTTAATATTATGGGGACAACAAAAGAACGAAAGCATACTGGATTGCACACAATTTAATAAAAAAAAACATGTACAAGTTGCCGAATGTCCTCTGCAAATGAAAAAGTTTGATGTGCTGTGAGTTTGTGCGTGTGTGTGTACTCTCACAGGGCAATTGCGCAGGTCTCCCATGTTGCTGGCATTGCGGAGCAGTTCTCCAAACATGTCCGGTGTGGCCTTCTCTCTGCACTCCAGCATCCTCACCGCCTGGTTACTGCAGCATTAGACACACACACACAAATACACACACACACATTAAATTATTTCTGCCCCAATGCATAAGATTTTGTGAACAGAAGAAAACATTTATATTAAAGGCAGCAGGATTGGGTTTTTTTTCTCTCTCCATGCAGACGCTTCTGATGAACAACACTGAGTAGAATTCAACAATTTCTTCGGCAGATGTTCAGCCAGAAATACGACAAGAATTAAAACAATTGTCTTGCAAATTCTTTCTGGCCCTGCGTATTGCTTAGGCAGCCATCCACACACACACACACTCAAATTGATACTGACTCTGAGCCAGGACCACAGGCTCATCTGCTTTTATCAAGAAAAGGAAATGAAGAAAAATGAAGGCAGGAAAATAAAATATAAGAACAAATCTAGATTACAGTCCTTCTAAGAAATGTCTAAATCCTCTCTGATAATAATCTTTGACCTCTCTGAAGTGTTTAGGCCACAAGACAAGCAGTAACAATAGAGGAACATTATTGTTGTTAACGCTTAAGGAGAAGTTCATCTTCGCACCAAGCAAATGTGTGTTATTATCTGTGAATTACAGAATGAGCTCATCTGCAGTTGCTTTCTTTTCTTTTTCTCCCCTCT